TATATATATATGACGCTTTTTATTCTCACTTTTTTTTACCATTTTCTAGTCTAACATGGATGAAGTCAAGAATTTATTTGGTTATATTCCCATTCATATTCTTATAAATAATTATAAAACTTCTACTTTATTTTTATTTTTTTTCTGTATTGTTTAAATATTTGTACAGCAAACATACATTTATTATTTCCTATATTTTTTTAAAGAAAATATGAATTGAATTGAAAACGTGATGTTGTTTTTGTAATTTTTGTAAAAAAAAAATATTTATTTTATCAAAAATAAGCAAACTCTTAAGTTTTTGAGCAACTTTATTATCGCTTGTTTAATCTTTCATTCAATTTATCTTTTTTAATATTCAGTTTTAATAATGATCGAGTATATGATATTCATCTGAATATGTTATTGTTAAATGAAGGAAAAATAGTATGTTCCTAGATGGTAATTATATCTACCTAAGGACACACTCGTAATCTGATAACTGGAAGGCCGAACGAGAGTTATGGGCGGATGCTTTAGAGGGGGGAGGTACCTACAGAAGGCACTCCGACGCTCAAGTCAAGACAAGTACGAATCTCGATAGTAATAAATAAATAGTGCATACCTCGTTTTATGTGACCTATTTATACTACTTGTAATGGGTCTTGGACGTGGTGGACATCTTCTGACATTTGCCAAATTATGTAATACGGTGTTAATCGGCTGATTATGCCTTAATCAATTAAGTCATGATTGTCCTTATTAGTCATGATTGTCGTCTTAATCACTGTTTGGTCTTATTGGTCGTTGGCTGAGCCGAGAGGTGTAAGAACGGGGTTCTCTCTTTGAGTTTCAGTCTATTACCAAGCCAACGGAACCGAGGGGCAACCGAGATTGCTTGTGGGTCTCAGTCTCTTGCCGAACCGAGACGTTGCTAAGAAGGCCAGCAAATTGCATTGCCCTGGCCAAGCATTTGGTGATCTCATAGGTTCGTTATCACGGCCACTGCCATGTCGTATTGGCGACCGAGATGGCTGAGGCGGGTGCGTAAACAACTTGTGCCTCGGCCATCTTGGTGGCCGATAGAGTGTCACGTGCCGTTCCACGTGGTTGATGAGACCCTTCCAGTACAGTAATATTATGATTTTATAAAAATTGTAGAACTGCTTAAAAAGTGAATGAGGTAAAACTTGAATTGTTTATATTAGTTTCAATTAGATTTGTGAAAGAGCCGTGAGCTTAATTTTCTATAAATGTGAGTTCTTTACAACATTGCTAGAAATTGTAGTAGGAAATTAATAACGATTCTTAGAACATTACATTTGAGGTTAACTCAATTCTACAAAATCAACTTGTAAGATGAGGGTTGTTCTCCACTTATATACTCTTTAATTATTTTATTTATAATCTCACATCGACTTGAGATAAGACAAATTAAAAAGTATATAAGTAGAGAACAATCTTTAACTTACAAGCTAATTTTGTAGGGTTGAGTTAAACTCAAATCAACTATTCCAAGATGGTATCAAAGTTACCCTAAATCAATAATAGCAAGCCCACAATTAATTAAAGAGTATATAAGTGGAAAACAATCCTCATAAAATTAAATTAGGCTCAAATCTACTATTCTAAGAGTGATGCTGATAGAAGATAATTGAACGACATGATGTGATTGTTTGAGCAAACTAGTAACAAGAAATAATAAAAAAATGATAGGAAAGTTAAATTAATAAAAAAAAATATTATCTTAATTATATTTTTAGTCCTCTAAATTTGAAATACCATTACATTTTGCTTCAGCAGTGGAGACCTTTCTTCACTCTAACAGCAAATAAAACCAAAAAGGTTGCAGCTTGGATAAGGATCCCTGGACTGCCCATTGAACTTTATAATGATCGCTTTCTTTGGAGGGTGGGAAACAAGTTGGGGACAATGCTAAAGATTGATAAATTAACCTCTAT